TTTTTGGACACAGAGTTTTGCTCCTGTTGCCCAGGCTGGAGTGCAATGGCACAATCTTGGCTCACCGCAACCTCTGCCCCTCAGGTTCGAGCCATTCTTCTGCCTCAGCCTCCCGAGTAGCTGGGATTACAGGCATGTGTTGCCACTCCCGGCTAATTTTGTATCTTTTTCAGTAGAGACAGGGTTTCTTCATTTTGGTCAGGCTGGTCTCGAACAGCCGACCTCAAGTAATCCACCCGCTTCAGCCTCCCAAAGTGCTGGGATTATAGGCATGAGCCACCGCACCCGGCCGATTTCGGCCTATTGCTGGACTTTCTTTCTGTTTCATTGTTCTGTCTGTGTCATCAAGCTCCAGTGCCATACTCTTAATTCCTGAGGTTTTATAATCTATGCTAATATCTGGTAGAGTTTTATCTCTTCATTACTTCCCTTTTTCAGAAATATGCTGTATGTTCTTGGCTTGTTTACTTTTCCACACTCATTTTATTTTTTTGTTGTGACAAAATACACATTGCATAAAATTTACTATTTTAACCATGTTAAATTGTAAAATTCAGTGATACTAACTCCCTTCACAGTGTTGTACTACCATCACCACTATGCATTTCCAGGACATTGAAGTCTGTTTCCAGGCTGGGTGTGGGGGCTCATGCCTGTAATCCCAGCACTTTGGGAGGCAGATGGATCACTTGAGGTCAGGAGTTCGAGACCAGCCTGGCCAACATGGGGAAACCCCATCTCTACTAAAAATACAAAAATTAGCCGAGCATAGTGGTAGGTGCCTGTAACCCCAGCTACTTGGGAGGCTGAGGCAGAAGAATCACTTGAACTTGGGAGGCAGACACTGCGATGAGCAGAGATCGCTCCATTGCACTCCAGCCTGGGTGACAAAGCAAGACTCCATCTCAAAAAAAACTGTGTTCTCAGAACTTTTAAAAAATCATTAGTTCTCAGTCTTTTAGCGAAGATCTAGTGCAAAACTTTTTTTTTAATCATTCGGAACTGAAATCCTATACCCATTAAACACTAACTCCATTGTCCCCTTCCCCAAGTGTCCCTGGCAGACACCATTATGTCTGCAGGAATTTGACGACTCTGGGTAGATCCTGTAAGTGGAATCGTATAATATTTATCTTTTTGTATCTGGCTTATTTCACTTAGCATAATGTCTTCAAGGCTCATCCACATCATGGCATGCATATATCACTTGTTTATTCCCTTTTATGGCTGAATAATATGACACTGTATGTATGCACCACCTATATATATTTATCAGTTCCTCTGTTGATGGACACTTGAGTCTTGTGTTGTTTCCACTGTTTGGCTGTTATGAGCAATGCTGCTATGAACACTGGTGTACTCCAGATTAATTTCAGAATCAGTTTGTCCAGGACCAAACTAAACATTCTTCTATTGCTTTTATAATTACCCCGTCTTCCCCAGTCTCCCCGCATGCCTCCCTATGGTCATTCATTATCTCGATGAATCCCGACATGCCCCAGATACCTTTCTGGACATATCGTCCATCACTGCGGCGCCGCCTGTGGTTCTGCCTGCCTTCCCCTTCCTGGCAAAGCTGTGCAGCCGCTCTCCAGGCATTTACTTGGAAAACCACTTTCCTTTGCTCACAGGCTTCAGGGATTGGCCCTGAGGGACTTTACTGGAACTTTTGGTAAGAAATTGCTCTCCTTGCACCTACCTGCAGACCCTTCCTGCCTCCTGCCCAATAGGTCTCTCCAGGCTCCCCAGCTCTGCAGCTGGAGGTAATCTTGATTTAACAAGATGCCCTAGCTCGCCTGCCCCTGGAAGGCCCTCTTTGCCAGCCCCCTCTAGCACTGGTCCCTCTAGGAAGTCTTTCTGCCTCTCTTGTCATCACTCTAGGCTGCTGGTACCCTTTCCCCTGCCACTTCACCCCTCATCCTGTTTGAGAGACACCTTTGCTTTGGCCTGATCTGTCTGTGGCTGTCCTCAGCTTGGGCACAGGTGACAAACCTCTTCCTTCACCCCCATTGCACCTAGCGCACTGTTTTCCATATAACAGGTGCTGGTTTGAATTGGGTTAAATCAAGATTACCTCCAGCTGCAGACTCAGGAGCAGGTAAAGCAACCAAAGCCCTCCCAGGCACAGGACAGTCTTGCTGCTGCTCCCACCCTTCTGGCAGCTCATGGTAGACCTCAGGGAATTGTAACTAACATCATCCTGTTGGTGACCTGAGACATCCAGGCACAGCCTGCTTCCCTGAAGGTCCAGCTTTGTCTTCTGATCCTGGCCACCTGCAAGGGCCCCTACGTGTCCCGGGTCCCAGTGTCTGAGCCACCACTTCCCAGTCCAACCCTGTGATGAGTTCTGACAGCAGTTGGGGAGCGGGTCACAAATGGGAACTAATTCATACCTTACTCACTGTGTGGTCAGCTCTTTACCCTCCGGTTGCAGCTCTCTTGCTAAAAAGGTCTCTGCGGCCTGATTTTTTGTGAACACGTGGATATTTGTGTGTTTCGTTGCATTTCATATAATTGCTTCTTTCTCTTTATTTCTAAGCATTTAAAATTCACTTATTCAACAAATGTCTTCTGGGCACTTACTCTGTGCCAGGCTTGTGCTGCAAATAAGACAGGCAAGGTCTCCCTTCGTGGATAGGGGGTGAGAAGCAGGCAGTTAGCAAGGAAACAGAAATTAGCAGAATAATTTCAGAGTGAGAAACACTAGAAAGAAGAAACATAGAATAACATGACGGAAGATGATTTGGGAACAGGCAGAAAATATTTTCGATTTTGGTGTTGAAGCTTCTCTTCTCCCCGGACTTCATGGACAGTTGTTAAAGGCGGAGGGAAACTTCTACATCAAGGAGTCCACCTTGTCATTTAAACAATCACCTCTTCAATAGGTCTCTTTACGTAGTTGACATTTGGATGTTGAGCTTTCTAAAAATAGAGCTGAATTTTGGAAGAGAATTATAGAAATTTAAAGTTTATTCATTCAACGAATACCTGGTGATCTCCTACCATGGGTTGGCATCGTTCTAGGTGCTGGAGGTACAACAGAGGGTGAAACAGGTCTTGTTCCAGTGGAGTTTCCAGACAATTCTCTAGAAAGAAAGAAACAGGATAACTTCACATGGTGTTGGGTGATATGCAGGAAATAAATAAAGCAATGGGTGGGGAGGCAGCTTTAGAGAGATTGATCAGAAAAGACTTTTGTGACAGGGTGGCATTTGAACTAAGAGTTGAAGAAGCATAAAGATACGGAGAAAAGGGAACACATACATTATTGGTGGGAATGTAAATTAGTACAGCCTTTATAGAAAACAGTATGGAGATTTCTCAAAGAACTAAAACTAGAACTACCATTTGGTCCAGCAAACACACTACTGGTAACTGTTAACAGTGTACACCCAAAGGAAAAGAAATTGGTATATCAAAAAGATACCCACATTCATATGTTTATTGTAGCACTATTCACAATAGCAAAGATATGGAATCAACCTAAGTGTCCATCAACAGAGGACTGGATAAAGAAAATGTGCTATGTATACACAATAAAGCACTAGTCAGTTAAAAAAAACCAAATGTCCTCTAAGACATTACCCTAGGTGAAACTAGCCAGAGACAGAAAGACAAACACTGCATGTTTTCACTTATATGTGGGAGGGAGCTCAATTATGTGTACACATGGATGTAGGGTGTGGAGTAACAGACAATGGAGGCTTGAAAGGGTGAGGGGGCTGGGCACGGTGGCTCACGCCTGTAATCACAGCACTTTGGGAGGCTGAGGTGGGTGGATCACCTGAGGTCAGGAGATCGAGACCAGCCTGGCCAATATGATGAAACCCCATCTCTACTAAAAATACAAAAATTAGCCGAGTGTGGTGGTGCACACCAGTAATCCCAGCTACTCAGGAGGCTGAAGCAGGAGAATTGCTTGAACCTGGGAGGCGGAGGATGCAGTGAGCCAAGACAGCACCACTGCACTCCAGCCTGGGCAACAAGAGCTAAACTCGGTCTCAAAAAAAAGAGAGAGAAAAAAAATAAAGAAAGGGTGAGGGGATGGGGGAAGTGAATGATGAGAAATTACTTAATGGGTACAATGTATTGGAGTGATAAATACCCTCAAAACTCTGACTTTACCACTATGAGATCTATGCATGTAACAAAATTACACATGTAACTCATAAATTTACATACATAAATTAAATTTTTTTTTTAAGTTAGCAAACACTGGGCATGGTGGCTCACACCTCTAATCCCAGCACTTTGGGAGGCTGAGGCTGGTGGATCACGAGGTCAGGAGTTTGAGACCAGCCTGGCCAAGATGGTGAAACCCTGTCTCTACTAAAAATACAAAAATTAGCTGGGTGCGGTGGCGGGTCCCTGTAATCCCAGCTACCTGGGAGGCTGAGACAAGAGAATCACTTGAACCAGGGAGGTGGAGGTTGCAGTGAGCCAACATCATGCCACTGTACCCCAGCTTGGGTGACAGATCAGGACTCCGTCTCAAAAATAAAAATAAAAATAAAAAAAGGCTAGCAAACAACTTTTTTAAAAGAAGGATAAGCAGATATCTACATAGTGTGTGGAGAAAGAACAACCCAGGCAAAAGGAACAAACAGCATACGCAAAGGGCTTGAAGAAGGAAATAGCTTGTTTGGTTTAAGAAATGATAGAGGCTGGGCGTGGTGGCTCACGCCTGTAATTCTAGCACTTTGGGAGGTTGAGCCAGGAAGATTTCTTGAGCCGAAGAGTTTGAGACCAGCCTGCCAACATTAGCTGGGCTTGGTGGCATACACTTATAGTCCCAGCTACTCAGGAGGCTGAGGTGAGAGGATTACCTGAGCCTAGGAGGTCAAGGCTGTGGTGAGCCGTGATCATGCTACTGTACTCCAGCCTGGATGACAGAGTGAGAACTTGTCTCTAAATAAATAAATAAATAAATATAAATAAATGAGGCAGGGCACTGTGGCTCACGCCTGTAATCCTAACACTTTGGGAGACTGAGGTTGGGTGGATTGCCTGAGCTCAGGAGTTCAAGACCAGCCTGGTCAACCTGGTGAAACCCGTCTCTCCTAAAATACAAAAAATGAACTGGATGTGGCAACGTGCGCCTGTAATCCCAACTAGTCGGGATGCTGAGACGGGAGAATTGCTACAGTCCGGGAGGCGGGGGTTGCAGTGAGCCAAGATCGTGCCACTGCACTCCAGCTTGGGCAACAGAGCGAGACTCTGTCTCAAAAAAAAAAAAAAAAAATGAAAGAAATGATAGAGGATGATGATATAATATGAGGTTGGAAAAGCAGGCCTAGAACACAACATTGAGTCTTTCAGGTGACAGCAAGGGGCTTCGATGCAGTGGGAAGCCGTTGGAGGGATCTGACTTGCATCCCATAAAGACCTCTTTGGCTACTGTGAGGGAAACAGACATTTTGGGGGAGGTTCTGGAAGTCAAGGTAGAGGAAGAGCTAGTCTATAAGGTGAGGAAGAGCTAGTCTATAAGGTGGATCCCCTTTGTGAAAATTCAACCTATGAAAGAAGCCAACGTACAGAAAAGATACATTGGAAGCGAACCAGACTTCCTGGAGCAGCGGGGAGGTGGGATCTCAAGTCCAGATGTTGAATGAGTTGGGTGATTGCATGGGACAGGGCCAGAAGCTGATGAGGGGCACAGGGTGCAGGTCGAGGAGACGAGATGAGCAGGCACATGCCATTCATTTTTATTCCCCCTATTTTGCTTGAGTCACCAGCTTGGTAAGGGGAGAGGTTCAACCATCTGCAGGTAATCCACATGCTTCTCCTAACCTGCCTACCCATCCACACTCCCACCAAAAAATAAAATTAAAAAAAAAAGAAAAATAAGAAGCCAACCCCAGAGCTTGCACGTCTGCATTCTCCACAATCACTTCTCTGTATTACAGCTCTTGTCGTCTTACATTACACGTGAATAACTAATCAACCAAACACAAACCCCCTGATGGAAAAAAATGCATGTTGGATCTAGAATGTGAGCAGGGTAAAGAGTAATATTAATTTCACTGGTAAATAACAAAATGGGAGCAAACGTGGGATGTTAAGACAAGACTTGTGTTTCTGAATGCTTCTGGGAATCAAAACTCTCCAAGAATCAAGGGAAAGGGGATGAAGGTAGGTCATATCTGGAGTGCACTACCACCAATTCTTTTTTCTTCTGGTATGCATGTGACTATATGGAACGCCATCCTGGGTCAGGCCAACCGGTCATGTAAACCACTATGCTGTCTGCCTCACCCGGTTGAACAGTTCATATAATGATCTTCCACTAGTCCTTAACGGACATACAGGTGTTAGTCTTAACGCACCAACCAATAGTGTGGCAGGCTGGCACTAAACCTTTTGCTCTTTGAATGTCCACAGTGAGTAGCACCATGCTAGGTATGCAGTAGGTGCTCAATAAATGTATCATTCACACACTTCCTAAGTGAAGTCTATCTCTTCCTTCATCATTTTTCCTGAAAGATCTCTCTTGACCACGAAGAATGAACTCCTCATCTCCATATCCAGTGAGTGGTTTAGAAATGTTTTAGCCTTCCTCCTCCTTGACGTCATAATGGCACCCGACATCGTTGAGACACTTCAGTTGTCTTCTATGACTCTGAACTTTTCTGATTCTAATCTTCTCTTCCTGATGGCCTCTCTCCCCTACCTCCAATGACTTATTTTCCTGTTTCTGCACTTGAAAGTCCATATTCCACAGGGACTCTGCTTTGCTGTCTTGTCACTTTTTCTTTATGAGAAATTAATTGTATCTCATTTCAAATCAATGCATGTATTTTTGTCATCCTCTGTCACATTATATGCAAATGTATACCTGCTTATGGACCCATCTGTCCAGCTAGACTTCAAGCTCCTCAAAAACAGATCCCTGGGTTTCTCTTTGTGCCTCCAGCACCTGGCACAGAGCTGGGCACTCAGTGAATGCACCGTACACACCAGCCCAACTGACCCATCCTCAAATTATGCTTGGAAGTGGTAGATTGGGCAGAAATTACTGCCCCCATTATATAGAGAGGGGACCCCCAACACTCAGGGAGGTTAAGTAAACATTAGGAACATGATTCCTGCAACTGGCTACGGAGACTCTGTGTAATAATCATTCTGGTATTGCCAATTGCAAAAGGACTGTAAAGCTAATAGAGATGCTGTCTAAATACCAACGTCCAATCCTTTCATGCTCTTCTGAGCAGACTTGAATTTTCCAGTGCCTCTCTTAAAATACAGCCCGCAGGACTGAGCATAAAACTGCATGTGGCCTGACCTGCCAGCACGTGCTGGGAGTATTGCTTCCCTCCTTCCACACTCTGTGCTATTAATAGAGCCTCAGATTGCATTAGGGTTCTCAACAGCCTCCTCGCGCCGTGGGTTCACATCAAGCTGGTGATCAGCTAACCCCCCGGGTCTTTCTCATGAATGCCTTCTGTCAGGCCAGGCCTCTCCAGCAGCCACTTGGGCAATGAATGTTTTTGAATGCTTGTGATTATTTGTGACTTAGACTAGAAGGTACAACACCAGATCATGCCCTCCTTTCTCATGTGGCATTTTACTGAGTGGGTAATGGGGTCTTGGGGGTCCTTTTCAGAACCCAGAGGTGTGGCCAGCCACTGGGGGCCACCAGCATCATTGGACCCACAAAAGTAAGAGGATGATGGTGAAATTAATTTTCTGGTTCACTTCAAATTATTCTTATGTTCATCCCAACTCCTCTGGGATTAGGGTCTTTTCTCGGTCTTGTTCTAATGCTGGGGGTTTGTATGCACAGTCGCTTCTTCCTCCCACCCATGGACACAGGCACAATTTGATTTCTCATGCCCTTTACAAATAGTAGTAGTATTTTTAGCATGAATATCTTGCTCAGAAATTGGCTGTACAGTCTATATCCCCTATTGTCTTCACATCTAATACTTTGCTTTTTTCCCTCTGTCTCTCTATGCGTCAATATCACGTTTGGCTAAATAGATTTGATTTTGACCTATCTGAATTCTCCCTTCACAGATGACAGTCCGTTCTCTCTCTCTTTCCTTCCCTTCAATTAATTTTTTTCAGCCACTTGGAATTAGCTGAT